GAATGCTGCTATGTTCGTACTCTGCAATTGTCAGTCCTTGTCAGTCTATGTATCTACTCATTATGAGCTAGGTTGTAGTTGCATCTTTTATTTATTTTTATTTTTTTGTTGTTGTAGTTTGTGAAGTCCATGAAAAAGCATTTCAGTATAATGTCTGTGTTCCTTCTAGCTCATTTTAATGCATACATTCATAATGTATGACTTCATTTAAAAGATTGTTAAATTAATTTTATAATTGTTTTTTAAGTTTTATAGGTTGACTATGTAACAACTGTCCAGGGACTACAGATTAAAAATAGTCTTTTGGCTAACTCTGGCACATTTGCATCTATGCTTATTAATGTGCACTGTCCCTGCTAAATTAAAATGATTAAATAAATAAAAAGATTTAAAATCAAAGCCCCCTGAACCACTCATGGATGGACGTAGAACAAACATTCTGTAAGGGAAATTAAAATTTCCGATATGCCATTCATCAGCTCCAGCATCAAACGTCATACCTGCTTTAAAAGCATTAACATAAGCACTTCCCTGGCGGCCAGGTGGAAATTTCTCAAAATATCTGGGTCTTCACCTATCCCTTAGTTCAATCTGGAATAATCCTGACATCCTGCAAAATAAGAAAACACTAAATTCCCCACTGTGGTATGACAAAGGGATAAGACATCTAGAGCATGTAATGCAGGGCAGTAAGTTAATCCATTCCAGGATCTAGTGGCACAATATGGAATTAGCAATAATAGATTTCTTGAATATCAACAGTTTAAATCCAAAATTCAGGCAAGATTTAAAACCCCCCTCCATTGTATTTTGACATTTCTATGATATTTCATATTTTTCTGAGTCATTTCCTTACAATGTTGATTACCCACACAGGTCGCCAAATATTTTTTGACAAATGGCTTAATTTTGTGCTCAAAGTTGCAAAAGTTGCTTAGTTGTTAAAACGGGATTGTGACTTGAAGAATGACGTATGACTTATGGAATTATTATAGTCGTATGTCAGTCTCCAGGCTTGCGCAGGCGCACCGTCATGCCTCGTTAAAAAACTGTCACGCCGTCACGCCTCGTTAAGTCAGAGCATCAAACCGATAAATCGTTGTGAGCTAGCTAACCAATTTATCATCTAACTTACTTAGAACTTACAGTAGGTTTGTTTCTGTGTGTAAGATGGTCAGTTTGTCTTTCTAGTTAACGTTAACTAAGTTAACTAAATTAACTAAGTTGTAGTTAGCCAGGTGTAGTTAGCTACCATAGTTATTGCAGAAAGTTAGCTAACAGATGGTCTTCATTTTATATTTTAGTTTCCTCCTGTTGGTTTAGTGTGTAGTTCATTTTCATTATGGTATTTGTGCGTGCGGTGTTGGAGGACAGATGACAGGAAATGCATCGCACTTTCACCTGCCACCGTCTTATATACAGTCTGCAACATGCATTTTACTGACGGCTGTTTTACCGATGCATCGGCGGAGGCAACGGTATCAGAAGTCTTTACATACAGTTCAACAGAGTAATAGACCAACCCCCCACACCCCTGTGGTAAAGTAAGCGCACCATAAAACGTAGTGGGAGTTATCGTGTGCAGTGCGTGACAGAACTACTATACTATACTCGCACATTAGTTTCTATCATGGGTAAGTAATAGCTACTCCTGCCAGACTGTAAAGTGTACTAAACTTTACAGTGTAGTGACGTTAACACAGCATATTGTTAGTGAACAGTCCAGCCAGTCAGTTTTTGGTTGTCATGGTAACGTATTATGTCCGACTATTAACCACACCCCAAAGAACGTTCACCAAAACGGCAGTTAAAACTGTCTGGAGGGGGGCTTTAAAGATAACATAGTGGACTTAGATCTACCTCCAATGATAACAGACTTTCTTAAACTCTCACCCCCAAAACTGTTATCAAAAATAAATATGTTATTGTTGAAAACAGACAGTAGGAGATAGATCTATCCATTAGTCCAGACCAAAACTTCTGGATGCAGATATGTTTAAATACCTTTAGAATGACTACAAATCCCAATCTTATTCAATATAAAATTCTCCATAGAACACACTATACTGGACAAAGGATGTTCAGAATGGGTCTTGCCGGAACTGCTCAGGTAACATATCTGATAGTTATATGCATGCTATGTGGCAGTGTGCACCTGTTCAAAAGTTCTGGCAGAAGATACAGTATGTGAAGTCCTATCGATACGGCTAAGTTACCCTGTCCCAGTTTCCCCATCACTCTGCAGGCTGGGGGACCTAATTAGTATAGAGGTTGACACATCATACATGCTTCTCACTGCCTTATGCATCACTAAGAAGACTATCCTCATGGATTGGAAGGCATTATTGCTCCTATCGGCGGGGAGCTCCCCAGCATGGCTCACTGCTGTTCTCCCTCAGGGCGGAGCGCAGCTTTCCCCGGGACTGGTTGTCCTTGGTGCTCTGGGGGGTCGCAGGGAGCCCTGGCTGCCGGGGGTGGGGGGTCTCTGGGCGTGATGGAATTTTGGGGCGATTGTCAATGCCAATGTCAATCTTGATGTATTGTTTTTTTTTCCTGTGCAGGGTCTCTGGATGGCTGCTGGCTGTTTGGTTTGTGCACTGGAGTCCGGGGGAGGCATTTCCTGGTTGGCTTGGAGGGACTAGTTTGCGTCCCTGGTTTGCTTTGTTGGCCTCAGATCCGTGCTTCCCTGTTTCTCTGTCGGCCGGTTGTCGGACTCCTCTGGAGACCGAGGTATAAAGTTAGTTGTCGGGATGTGCAGTGTGGGTGCGGGGCGGAGCTGTGCTCCGGTTTGTTCTGGGCGTGTGCCTGGTGTTCTCGGCCCTTGACGGGTTGGTGGGTTGTGTAAGAAATACATTATATATATACACATTATATAATACAACTTGTGAGAAATTAGCATTGGTCACAGGGTTTTTATTCCTAAGCAAAGGGTTGTCTGATTTACAATAAACGTCTGCTGGCATGTAGGTGAGAGTTTTAACATAGACCAATCAAGAGACAGAGAAACATCTGATGCCACATACATTTGCATTTCCTTTCTTAGCTCAGGAAGAGTTTTTGAGTGTATGCTAATACTCTGCCATTTGTTTATCCTTCATCTACCATTTGTTGGCTGTTATTTGCTTTGTACTTGTTCTGTACTTAAGGAGAGGAAAAGCTGTGTTCGGGAGAGTAACCGTGCGTTCTCTCTGTGGCCACGTCACATAAAGAAGTTATTCAACACATCTATTTGACTCCGTATTCTTTGGGAAGGAATTATTTCCCCTGACAGTTGGTGGTGACAATAAGCTAGTAAGCTAATGAGCTAGTTGATTTTGCGGTGGTTGGGGGGGGGGGGGGGGGGGGGGGGGGCGGGCTGGGACTTGCTGCTGTTGTTTTTCTCAGCTGGTTTTCGCCGTTGTGTTCTACCACTTGCTTTCTCTCATTTGCTCACATATAGACACACACACAAGCAAAGGTTGTCCCATGGTATAATTATTCTTGATGTTTTTCTTTCAGTTACTTATTTAAATTAATTGTTATTATTTCAGCTCTCATGGCGGTGCTGTGTTGTTTATTTATGTTGCTTGACTGTTTCTCGTTTTCATTCCTCTCTCAATTGTCTTCCTATGTCAGCTGTTTATTGCTGCTGTTCGGCTGGTTGTCTCTTTGTTTTTGTTTGTTGTTTGTTTTTCTCCGTTCTCTTGCAGGTTTTGTTTGCAATTGGTGTTTCCTTCTGCTATTTCCTGTTGTCCCCACCCCCCATCCCCGTTCTCTTGCAGGTGTTGTCCTTTCTCTGTGCTGTCTGTTTATGTGGTGTTTCTATTCCCCATCCCCTTTTCTGACCCCTGTCTGGCCCGGTGACAAATAAATTTAAATAAATAATAAAACAGATAAAGGAGTATATTAACACTTTCTTGTTAAAGTAAAATCTGTCATACTATATACCAGGCTGCTGGGCATGGCAGGTTTAAAAAAACAAAACTGTCAGTAGTTTTATTTGAGGGGAGGCCCACAGTCTCAGACTTTGAAAACCCCTGCTCTACAGTGACAGTATGTCTAATTCTTTTATTTGTACGTAGTCTTGGGTTGTCCTGAAGTCAAGTATATCAGTCATTTCCAGAAATGATGGAGCAATGTGTTTTTACACGACCTCAAGTATCAGAAAGGAAGTGATTTCAAGGTACAACTGTGTTAATTTTACTTGGCAGGAATTATTTATTTAAAATTTTACCAGAAACCCAAAATCAAATAATTTTCTAACATTCTAGTGGGATTTTGGGATTCGCCACAGAAAGTTAATAAAGGAAAACAATAATATCCTTCCTTCACAACTTGACACTGGATCAGAAGCAGTAACCAGAGGTGAAAATGAAGGGCATTTGCTCAAGCACTATACTTAAACTTTAATATTTGTATTTTGGGCTACTCCTATGCAGTTTACCTCTACACAACAACCTTTTTTGCTAGAAATATTGCACTGTTTATTCCTCTATATATACCTGACAGATGTAATCCCTAGTTACCTTACACATTCACATTTTACAAGCATTATATATAAGATAATGAATATTGTGCATTTTTATAGATTCAATTACCCACAAGCATACACATTACTGTACTGACAATTGTAACAGCATTTTGCTGCTCTATACTCGGTAGTTTTTCCAGTAAAAGGACTTTTACCTGTAACTGTATTTTTACATTGTGGTACTACTGTTTTACTCAAACTGTATCATCCACCACTGTACAAGACACTTTATCTATTAAAAATGTTTTGATTTTGCCAATACGATACTTTGGATTATTTAGTGATCTGGGGCTTTTATTTTCATTATATATCATATGTTCTATGATATACTGTGTACTCTAATAACTGTTTTATTGTTGTACTTTTACCTTGTAATTACTGTTTTATTGTTGTACTCTTATTTTGTAAAGCACCTTTGTCAATCTTGATTGTTTAAAGTGTGCTATATAAATAAAGTTGACATTGACAATATGAAAACAGAAAACCGGCATTATGTTCCATGGTCAGAACTTTATTTTGACACTACAGACATCTGTAAAAGATCACCTACTTATAGTAGCTGTCCCCATAAATTTAATTAATTAATATGTTTTGGATGTTTTGGATTTTGCCAATATGATACCTTGTATTGCTGGTACACTTGACATGTTTGCTGATGTTGCTTTTCCATGTCAGGGTTAGACAGTTCAGTAAAATAGAACACAAAGGAACACATACATACAGTAAATATTTTGACAAAAAAAGATTTTGAATTGCTTCAGTAGCATCTTTTTTATTTTGTAAACATCATCATAAACAAAGTTCAGCATTAATACCAACAATCCATAATTATTAGATTGTTACTGATTCCAGACAAATTAATTGAAAAGTCATGCTCTACAGTTTTAACCATTTGTTGTATCTTATTTAACCCTTTTCAAGAAATGTCTTTCTTGCAACTTGGAATTTTCCTTATTTACCAATAACAAAGTACTCTTGCAGTCCAATCCAATACTGTACTATCTTTTACCAGTTATTTCAACACTTTGCTGACAAAGTGTCAAAGAAATGAAAAAGGAGCTTTTAAAGCACATCATAGCCAGTTTTATCAAATGCATGAGCATTTACCTACAGCACACCACTCATTTTCATTTCATTCCACTAATACCCGAACCATGTTAATGTTCCAAATGTTTTACAAAATGTTCTGGCGCTCCACACTTTGCTGTTCAGAAGCGCTCATGATCAGAGGTCCAACAGAAACCACAACCTTTGGCTCAGCGGTCTCCTGGTCCACAGCCTCCACATCTCTCTCTACAGACAGACATAAAAAGATGGTAAGATTTATGAGAATATTGCTACTGAATTCTACAGATATTAAATTCATCTCTTACTTTTTCTTGAGACTGAGCAATATGGTTCACAGGATTGGCGTGTTGTATCAGTGCAAACAGCTGTGCTGCAGTGAAGGTACACCTGAAGAAGGGAAACAGTGTTGGCAGAGCAATACAAAAATATTTTAGTTGCAGCAGTTTCTCAGTATAGCGCATATATTTATTACCTTTTCCTTCTGGGGTGCCATTGATTGGGGGTCCACAAAGGTAAACATTTTGAAAATAAAACGTCTGTAGTGAGTTGGGAAGTCAAGACCAGAGGACGGGCCGATTGGAACCAGTGAGGACAAGTAGTGATCATTGTAGTATGGACACCTGGATGAAAAATGATATCAAGACAACGACAATAAAGTCAAATTGAATTTTATTCCTAGTGAGCAGACCTGACAACAATGTACTTTCACAAACATCAAACATGTTGTAAATTGGTATTGATTACCCGTTTATCAGAATATCCCACTGGGGCAGACTGTGAGGGTTGGAGGTTGTGGTTGTCCAACAGCGACCAAGAGTCAGGACAAGTTTTGGATCTGTCTTTTCAGTGAGTTCAACCTCCACATACACAGGGTCCCTCAGTACTTTGGTCACAGGATAGTCTTCTGTTGTATAGAAAGAGCTATAGGCTGCATCCACTGTGAGAGTGGAGATACCAGTCAGTATGACAGCCACCGTTATGAAATCAACAACAAAGCAAGGCTGCCAAGCGGACACACACTTACCTTCATTACAACCCTTTGTATAGCATTGTCCGTTAGCCAACCTCAGTTGTACTGTGATGGGTCCCTGAGCAGCAACTGGTAGAGGAGGATCTAGTAATGGTACTTGTAGAACCAAAGTTTGAACAGAAGTGCCAATGTACCTACACTGGAAGATCAAACTAAACAGAGAAAACCAGCATTATGTTCCTTGGTCAGAACATTTTGACACTATAGATTTCTTTTAAATGATCACCTACTCATAGTGGCTGTCCCTGGTAATGGATCCAAGAGGCCCAACTCCTACTTCATATGAAGAGGACATCCTGTTCTCATAGATTATAACACCAGGTTCCTCCTACAAAAGGTAAAAAAATGGTGGCAAAAGTCTTTCAGAGTTACTTTTATTGGTTGAAAAGTAAAGGTCAAGCTCTTACCATAACAACAGAGCCACAGGCAGTAACAGGAAACTGGTAGATGGCAAATTGTGAATTAGAGTCAACATATGTACAGCCTTGACCTTGTCCCAAAAGTATGATTGAACTGAGGTCAAGGGTGGGCAGAGTTGCATCTCTGGCTACTACCACAATGAATTGGGCATCCTTAGTACACTGGACGGTCACTGTTGGCACAAAAACATGCATTGACATGTTGAATGGTTCAATATTACTGACCAAAGAGATCACAGATATTTGAGCAAATAATTTAGGGTTTACTTAGGATGTCTGTGAAGGTTCTCAGTCATCCAGGTCATAGTTATCCAAAGGTTAAGTCAAGGGCAACTGGACTCGGTTGAAGATACTAGAAGATGTTTCGTCCCTCATTCAAGAGACTTCTTCAGTTCTGAAATGACTAGTAGGGAAACTCAGCTATTTAAGGTGAAGATGCCAACGATGGTCGTTCTGATTTGACCATGGGTGGTTCTAATGACCATAACAACTGTCCTTACAACAGCCAGGAGCAATAACGAACCAGCAGTAACAACGATCCTGGCAAACAACCCCACAGAGGTTAAAATCTTCTACTATCTTCAACCAAGTCCAGTTGCCCTTGACTTTAACCTTCTTTGGATTTACTTTGGATACAGCTGTCCCATTAGCTAAATGCTAACAGCTGCATGCCAAGATTTTCATAATGACGGTTTAAACATGTTGTTTGTTTAGCATGTTAGCTAGCTAACATTTGGTAATTAACACCAATAAAAGTTCATCTAAAGTTGATGGGAATGACAGTTTTGAAGACATTGAACAAAATGAAATTGTAAGGCGATGCTGCTGCTAGAGGAAAAGTCGGAGGATCACCAAAGTCATTAGGATTCATACTCTGGGGATCTTTAATGTTTAAGCAAAAATCTTATGACAATCCAATATTTGTCAAGATATCAGTCAGTCATTATTGCCATTGACAGAGCCACAATGCTAGCGTGTTAATGATTACGGCAGATCCGGGCAAGTATTATGAACACATTATAGGACGTAGAATAAGAAGGGAAAAGCGTTGTATAAGCTTAACCTGACTACTGAATAATACTTTTGAACAAACAAAATTTTAGCAAAACCTTTTTTACCATAGGATTATTGTGATACTTTTACTAGTTAGTCATCTATTGATGACACAATGCAGCAGTGATGGAAAGTAACTAGGTAAATTTACTTAAATACTGTAATTTGGTACAATTTTGAGGTACTTTTAGTTTACCTCAGTATTTCCTTTTTCTGTTACTCTATACTTCTATAGCAGTACAATTAGACAGAGGGAAAATAACAGAGAGGGAAAAACTGTACTTTTTATTCTACTACATGTGTTTAATACAGCCTACACTTAAGAATTTATTGATCGCGAGGGGGAAAATCACAAGCTACCCAGCAGTACAAAGTTGTGCATAATATAAAATACAGCATTCTGAATAAGCAGTACTGTTAATTTTGGAACTTTATATTTTGATGCTAATTTTTTTTTGTACTTTTACTAAAGTAGCCTACAATTTTAAATTCAGTACTACTTGAGTGGAATTGCTACTTTAACTTAAGTATCTCCACCACTGCAATGTAGTGTTTACATTTACAACAAGAAAAGCAGCTAGAACAAAGATTGCTCTTTGGAGAACAATGACAGCCCTGTCGAAACTCACCTGCTTTTCCAAAGTAGCACTGTTGGCCATCAAAGCAGCAGCTAATTGCTTGACATGCAGCAGCAGTAGTGACATTTAAACCTCCACATGGGACTTTCTGGGCATCTCCCACATCACAAGTCTGTACATGTTGCGATGGAGTGATTGGCCCTTGAGGATATTGAGGAATCTTAGGTGGAACCTTTATTGATGGAGGAGGTTGGACCTGTGGCACTTGAGGATATCGAGGAACCTTATGTGGAACCTTTGGTGGTAGTAGAGGAGGTTGGACCTGTGGCACTTGAGGATATTGAGGAACCTTAGGTGGAACCTTTATTGATGGAGGAGGTTGGACACGTGGCACTTGAGGATATTGAAGAACCTTTGGTGGCCAAGGTGGTTGAACCTGTGGTGGAGAAGGATATTGAGGAACCCTTGGTGGTGAAGGATGTTGAACCTGTGGTGGAGAAGGATATTGAGGAACCCTTGGTGGTGAAGGCTGTTGAACCTGTGGTGGAGAAGGATATTGAGGAACCCTTGGTGGCGAAGGCTGTTGAACCTGTGGCGGAGAAGGATATTGAGGAACCCTTGGTGGCGAAGGCTGTTGAACCTGTGGTGGAGAAGGATATTGAGGAACCCTTGGTGGCGAAGGCTGTTGAACCTGTGGTGGAGTAGGATATTGGGGAACCTTTGGTGGCCAAGGAGGTTGAACCTGTGGTGGAGAAGGATATTGAGGAACCTTTGGTGGCGAAGGCTGTTGAACCTGTGGCGGAGTAGGATATTGAGGAACTTTTGGTGGCCAAGGAGGTTGAACCTGTTGCGGAGAAGGATATTGAGGAAACTCTGGTGGACCAGGAACTGGTGGTACCTTCTTCAGTGGTTGATATGATGCAGGAAATTTTAAGTCTTGAGCTTCTACCTTTGTCCCAACTAAGCAGCCTAGCAGTGTTAGTGCCACTAAAGAGGTAACACTGCAGCACGATGCCATGGTTAACAGCAGTTAGACCAGGACAGTCCCCAAATGTATTCTTATGTGTGCTGCCACATTTATATGTGACTAGACTTGAAGTTTTAAAAACCCACCTCTTGGGCCAAATAACCACCAATCACAACTTCCTGTCTTTTCAGTAGCCACTTAAAAGCTTCAGGGGTGTATTTTGTAATGTTTTCTTCTTTTTTTTTACATTATTCAGGTGGATGATTCGATAAGCCTTTTGGCTTGTTCACAAGATCAGTTGCATGGGTGGGACAAAGGGATGAAACACGTGTCTTATCATATCAGGTTACTGGTTTGGATGACAGCTTGACACTAAAGTATTTATTGACAAGTCCAACATTTGGGTCACAAAAACCTTACCCAAGGTCTTTGTGGCCTCAACCTTAATTTGTCACCAAATGTTTATTTTGCGGGCGACCCGGTTGCCCCGGCCTTTCTGTGTGGCGCTTGTACGTTCTCCCCATGTCTGCGTGGGTTATCTCCAGGTACTCTGGCTTCCTCCCACTGTCCAAAGACATGTAGCCTTGCAGATTGGTAACTCTAAATTGTCCTTAGGTGTGAGTGTGACTGGTTGTTTGCCTAGGTCAGGTCGCCAATCCATCACAGTATTGTCCAGGGAGGTCCACCTTTTGCCCGATGCCGTTGGCTCCAGCCCCCCGCAACCCTGTACGCAGGATAAGCGGTTGAGGATGGATGGATGTTTATTTTGCTAATGCAACAGGTCTTCAACAGTTTGGTTTAGTTAACAGTTTGTCTTACGCCTATGAGTAAACAGTCAAAAATTTAGGGACAAACCACAAGATAGTGAACACACACACCTTTGCAATTGTGTATGTGTTGTTATTTGCTACACTTCAATGTAACCCAGTAACTCTGCCTCTAATCAGCCACCTGTTTACTGGCTAACACTTATTATTTATTCACCATTCTCTATTTCAGTGCTGTTCATACTTGTCATATTGTAGAAACTGTATCCCAAATCCACCTACCTCAAGTCATTACTCCTGCACAAAATACTTATTAATACTTATTTATTCCAACATCCTTTGCACTATGCTTCATTGCACTGTGATGTGTTGTATGCATGTATATGTACCTGTATATCACATCCACCTCCGACATGTACATACTTCTGCATCCTTTGCACTCTGCTCACTGCACTATTTGTCAATTTGTCTATATTTTTTGTGTTCACAGTGTAGAATATTTGTTTTGTCTACACTGAAGTCTGTGTCTGATTTTAGTAGCCCGGCTTCTTTGTATGTGTAGACATACCTGGCAATAAAAGATGATTCTGATATATCTAAATCAAATAATAATTTTTTTAAATTTCATTTGAAACCCCTTTTGAAACAACAACTAGTCCAGCCCTACTTCTATTTACGAACAGCTTTAAGTGCAGGACCTTTACTTTGAATGTTTTTTCATTGTAGTGTTACCACTTTTACTTAAGTAAAAGAAAAAGATCTGAATATTATATCTTCCATTGTAGCCTCAAAACACCGCTGGAGGAAAGTACATTTAAATATGCCTACTGTACAATTTTGAGCTACTTGTACTTACAAATATTCCCATTTTCTGCTACTTTTTACTTTCACTCCTCTACCATTTAGAGGCAAATATTGTACTTTTTACTTCACTACATTTCTTTGAAACCTTTAGTTACCACATACTTTGCAGATCGGATTAATACAAAATATAATAAACAAACACATTATGATGTTTTAATGGATAAATATAAGATGTTATTGATCCCTTGGTGAAATTCACAAGCTATGGCCTACCCTGCAGGGTTTCCAACAGGCTAGGCCTTTTGGAAAAAAGAAGCCCCACCTTCTTCAGATGCAAGTGATGTAGCCTACATATTAATGCATCAGTAATTATAATTTAATATCATAGTATACAATAGCCTAACATAATGGGATATTCTACATAATGAGTACTTCTACTTGGCATATTTAATATATTTTGATGCTAATATTTTTGTACTTTTACTTAGGTAAGAGTTTGAATGCAGGACCTTTACTTGCGTAACAAAGTATTTATACACAGACTTCTTCCACCACTAAATAACAGCACAGTGTAGGTATCGGGTTTACGTTTGACTTTAGGGCAGGCTTTCCCTTTAAAGAGCTCAGCCAGAGTGGACTACATTTCCCACAATTTCACGCGGTCAGTAAGTCTCTAAGTGCGTCATCTTTCGAGCGGGGCACATCTGCGCCGCTTACTTGAGGAGATGAGCGGGTCAGACCAGCTGACATAAGAAGACCTTACAGTGAGGGTGTTTGTGGGTTTGGTTTTTACAGGCGGACATGTCATCCAAGCAGAGCTCAGACACGAACAGCCGGAGGAGGAGGCCGGCTGAAAACACCCAAGGTGAGCGACTCAAGCTCATATTTAGCTTGTAGTAATAAAAAAAACTTTATTTGTAACAAGGCGACGGTGTCTTTAACAGCACTTAACGTTATATTCTTATTTTAAATCTGTCAGTAGCACCCTGATATCGTTAGGCTATGTGAATGAAAAGAGAAAACTGGCAAAGTGTTGTAGACTACTGTTGCATATCGGCCAGTCACGTTGTATTGATTACGACGTGTCCCCCCTCTGTGTGTGTGTGTGTGTGTGTGTCCAGATGTCCATAACTGCACATATAAATATAAGTGAAATAGGGCATCTATTTAATTTAGTGCTGTTTGCTGCTATGAGACAACGTGTAACGTTAGCTGTCCAATCTAGCGCTGCAGATAATGCTTTACTAATACTTTATAGTAGTAATTAAAAAAACAGACCATCACAGTTTTCCAGAGTGACATCTCCAGACAGCTTGCTTTTTCCAACCCACAGTCCAAAACCCAAATATTATATATATAGAATTAAACAGAAAGCAACAAATCCTCTCATTGGATAAGACATGTTTTGATTAATCGATGATCAGAATAGTTCATTAATTAACTAATTGATTAATGGAATTATTGTTTCAGCCCTATAGTGCAGACTTGCTCCATCACTCGGTAACAGCAACAAATCTCATTCTAGGGTTTCAAAAACTTCCAAATCTGGAGGAGTAATATAGGCAAGTCATGAATAAGGTCGTGAATTATGTCCTGAATTGACTAATTTACTTTAATGAAGGCATATGCCCATCTTAATGTTGTGGATAATAAAGTAGTGAATTAAAGCAATGCTGCCAAACCTCCTCTGTCAGTGGTGCACAATCCCTAACACACACAAGTTTGCACGTATTTCTAAAACAGAAAGAGGAAACCAAACAAGACTCTACCTAAAGTGTGTGAAGGCTCTGTTTGAAAGGGGAAGTCACGATTTTTATACTGGCTTGTCCCATGATGTAGTGGTTTCATTCATTTGTCATGATGATGTCTTGCTAGAGACAAGCCTTGAAATGAGTTAATGAATGATCCTTTATTTAATTGCAGTGATGCTTCTGGTTTCCCTGTGGAACAAATACAACTGTTGTCAGAGGCAGTAATCAGTTGAAATATTGGGAGATGGATAGAAGCACTTTTTGCCCCTAAGAGCAGGTTTGTTTAAGTCAGTGTAGGCTACTGAATATGCCTCAAGACATGAACACACATATACACAACATCCTTGTGTGAGTACTGTGAAAAACTAATGGAGGGGATACTGAGGATCATGGGCTATTGTGAGCGCTATGCATGTGATGGCTGTGTGGCTGAAGTCTTAGAGTTTGGGTGTTTGGGAGGGTAATAATTTTGGAAGCTACAGTCCCCTCCAAAAGTATTGGAACGGTAAGACAAATTCCTTTGTTTTTGTTGTTCACTGAAGACATTTGGGTTTAAGATCAAAAGATGAGTATGAGACAAGAGTTCAGAAATTTAGCTCTCATTTGTGTTAAACAACTCAGGACATACCACTCTCTGTTTGAACCCACCCATTTTTCAAGTGAGCAAAATTATTGGAACATGTGACTGACAGATGTTTCTTGTTGCCCAGGTGTTGCCTTTTAGGTTGATTGTCCAAACATTAAATAACTCTGCATGAATAGTCTAAGTTTTCATCCTTGGGTCAAACCTATAAAGACTGCATTTCCTGTTAAAGAGGAAAAAACCAACATGAAGACCAGAGAGCTGTCTATGGGAGAAAAGCAAGCCATTGTCAAGCTGAGAAAAGAAGGAAAATCGACCAGAGCCATTGGACAAACATTGAGCATAGCAAGCACAACAATTTGGAATGTCTTGAAAAAGAAAGAAACTACTGGTGTACTGAGCAACAGACGTCGAACAGGTCGGCCAAGAAAAACAACAATAGTTGATGACAGAAATATCATGAGAGCTGTGAAGAAAACCACCAAAACATCAGTAAGTGACATCACCAACGACCTCCACAGTGCAGGGGTGAAGGTATCACAATCCACTGTTCGAAGAAGAATCAGAGAGCAGAAATATAGAGGCAACATCACAAGATGCAAACCACTCATCAGCAGTAAGAATCGGAAGGCCAGACTGAAATTTGCAAAGAAGTACAGAGATGAGCCGCAAAAGTTCTGAAACACAATCTTATGGACTGATGAAGATTAATCTCTACCAAAGTGATGGAAAGGCCAAAGTGTGGTGAAAGAAAGGAACTGCTTATGATCTGAAGCATACAAGCTCATCTGTGAAGCATGTTGGAGGTAATGTCATGGCTTAGGTGTGCATGGCTGCTTCTGGAACAGGCTCATTAATATTTATTGATGATGTAACTGATGATGGTAGCAGCAGAATGAATTCAGAAGTGTACAGAAACATTTTGTCTGCCATTTTATGGAAAAATGCATTGAAACTAATCGGGAGGAAGTTGATCATGCAGCAGGACAATGACCCAAAGCACACTGCCAACAAAACAGAGGACTTCATCAGGGGTCAGTTTGCCTTACCGTTCCAATACATTTGGAGGGGACTGTATGTGTGTGCGATGTAGGTTATTTTTCATTTGTGTCGCTATTGATGGAGGTGTGATTCTGGGCAGTACAATGGATGTTGGGAACGCCAGTAACTCTGGAAGGAAAGAACTGCAGTGCTGCAGATACAGTGTTTAGCTGACACAGACCAGCATCAACTCCTTTGAGGCCAAAATGAGACTTATTGGTGCCACCTTTATGTCAGTGTTAGAATATGGCGATCCTATATACATGCATGCATCCATTCAAAGCCATGTTGGATACTGTTTACTATGGAGCACTGAGTCATCACAAACTTTAGAGCCCTTAATCACCATTGCTGCTATTCTTTGTCTGCTTCCATCTTACTTACAAATCTACATCCAAGAGAAAAGTACAGGAAGAACTGTCTTCATTCACAGGATTTCTTACTAATACCGGCCCCTTAAGACAGACTGAATTGGGTAAAGGGGAAATTAAGTATGCTGCTCTCCCTGCCTGGAATCAGCGGCAAAATGTTTATGACCTTGTAACTGATTATTTAATCCCATCGTACATATATATTATGTTTATATGTTTTTATATCTGCAACCTTGTTAATTGTGCTGCTGCCTGTCTTGTGCAGGACACTGTTGAAAAAGAGATTTTTAATCTCAATGAGTTTTTTTTCTGGTTAAATAAAGGTATAATAGCAAAAGTCAATGGACGTGGATGTTGTACGCAAGACAAAGACTTGTTTGTTTTTAACTAGTTAAAGGTTCAGTGTGTAATATTTCTGAGGCTCTATTTACAGAAATGCAATATAAGATACACAAGATGTTTTCAGTGGTGTGTAAAGACCTTACATGATGAACCATTATGCTTTTATTACCTTAGAATGAGACATTTATATCTACATAACCGCGGGCACCCCCTGCTGCGGATGTCGCTGTATTTTGTCGCCATGTTTCTACCGTAGCCGTCAACGAACAAACAGCGCTAAGGAGCATGTTTCGTCATCACGGCGTTCTTCTTCTGCTTGTGTAATTCCGGTAGTGTAGACACCCGTCGCTACATTGAATACGTACAAAGAAGAAGAAGAGGGAATAATAATAATAATAACTAGAACTGCAAGCAGTTGTAAGCGGGGTCCAAGCCTCCTGGCGCAAGCCGCTCCCCCCTGGCCCAGCGGAGGGTGCGCGATTCGGTCCGGGCGACCTGCCGTCGTATCGCATAAGGTCCCCACGTTTGGTGTTGATGGGCCATTCCAAACAGAGGCAAAACGTCCTGCCTTTGAAAATGCCATAGGAATGTATGGGATTGAGTGAGAGATTTCAGCTTTGCTTTTAGTGCCACCTTTTGGCCGAATTGCACCAAAATTATCATGTGTGATCAGGGCCCCATGGGGAACAATTGCCCCAAATTTGATATCAATCGGAGTTGTGGTTGTGGAGATGTAAAATGCATGTAAGTCTATGGGATGTACGAAATTTTGCACAGCCCCTCAGGGTGGCATGCCACATAAGGTCCTCAAGTTTTGTGTTGATTGGCCTTTCCAAGCCTGAGATATATTATACTTGCTGTTTTTAGCAAATATTTGTTAGCTTGCAATTGGGACATATTTTGTGGCATTAAAATTCCCTCTACAAACTTTCTTCGGCTGGGTCCAGAGATGGTCTGTGCCAAGTTTTGTGTCTATCGGACTTGCGGCTTCGGAGGAGTTAATTAAAATAAGTTTTCCAGTTTTCGCGATTTCGCGAAATGAAAACGTCATCGCACAGAGGCGTGTCCTATACTATCGGAATCGGCAGCATCCCCCAAACACGAAGACGTAAGGTTTATGAATGTGCAATGTAGTGAGCCGTAGTTATCTTGCAAAATGTCCCATTGCTGAACAATTCGGCACTGGTTTCATGTCAATGTGATTTGTGGTTATAGAGGAAGAATTTAAAAAAAATCTTATTTAACTGCCCTGGCGTGGATATAAGGTTTTTAATTTCCGCCTTCGTAGGCGGGAGTTCCAAGGCTAAACGCGTTGACCTTGTTTATAGCGCTAGCGCCCCCTAGAGGAAGAAGTGTGCGGGTTTTTGCGCCTGAGTTACGTGCAGTGAACTGGACCTACCCCAGGAGTTTCGCGTCCCTAGCAGTTACCGTCTAGGCCGCAGTATGAGTTTTATGCACGGAAGAATAAAAAAATAATAAAAACGACAACGAAAACAACAGGGTTCCCAGCTCCGCTGGTACTGGGAACCGCGATGCTTTGCATTCAAAGAAGAGAAGTGACATTTGGACAACTGAAGGAGCACACGTGTTATTTAGCACGAGAGCCAGACAGAGTCGGGACAAACAGCAGAAATCACGGATTTTGTGGATTTTCCCAGATGTGGGACAGAAGTTTTCAAAGCGGTGCTGAAGTTGTTTGTTTTCTGCTGAACAGGTAATTAACTTTTTTGTCAGACTTTAGCGACGCAAATGAAAACTGTTGTTTGATAGCTTTCGCTATTAGCTGGCCATAATCACGAGAGAGCCATTTCCCCCCGTCAGTGGTCTGAAATATGGATTAATTTCATGGCGCCTACTTATTCTCCAGCCTGTGGTTTGGCTTTGCCGGTTACGAGACAATCAGCTGATCAGTAACGTTAATTGGCAATAAAACCGTAATGTTATCTTAGAGCATGGAAGCATCAGCCAGCTAAACCTACTGACTGGCAGAAAAACACTTATTGTTAGTTGGATTGGTTTATTCTCCAGCACTGTGCTTTGGCTTGTGGTGGATTCATTTCATGTAGTGACTCTCTCTCTCGCTCACTCTTTTTTTGGCTTTGTATGTTATGTTCGTGAGAATCAGCTGATCGCTAATTGGCAATGAAACGGCAGCTTCCAGCATCGGAGCTCAGATCAGCCAGCTAAACCTTTACTGCGCTGGTAGAACAAATATTTAGTTGGATTGTAATTTCATGTAGTTCTTCTCCAGCCTCTGTTATGGCTTTGTTACCTGGACAGAAATGCGCGGTTACCTTCGTGAGACAAACAGGTTGCTAATGAAACGGTAACAGCAGGGAAGCTCAGATCAGCAGCTAAACTTCACATTTTACTGCCCTGGTGGAAAACATGTATTTTTTTTTTTTTTACTGCTAATTGTGATATATAACAAGACCATGTGCCTATCAAGTGACCAGTAATGAATACATTCCGAATTTGCATTAAAAAAAATTATTGGATATTGCTTCCCACTGTGCACATTCACAATCCTCACCACTAGATGTCACTAAAACTTACACACTGAACCTTAAACTAGTCATTCAAAGCAGAATAAATTTGTGGTAATGTCATAAAACATGTCATGAGATGAAAACTTTAGGTACGCTGTACCTTAATCTTAAAGCTGCCTCAGTAAAATTCACACAATCATTTCAACAGTTGACTGTATGATTGAGCAACACACTCAAAACTCAAAGGTTCAGGCAAAATTTGGTCAGGTTATTAATACGTTAATAAGATACAAAAGTAATTGTCCATTCACTGCTGTGCCAAAACAGTACATTGAATGAAATTATAATTATAGTAGTTAAATAAAATTATTTTAATTACATGACCAAGGGTTAAGTATAATATTATTCTATATTATGCTAATCTCTGCACCGACATGGGACATGCTGGGAGGAGGCGGGTACATTTATTCATTTAGCTGACACTTTTATCCAAAGCGACTTACCAGAGCTATATATGTCAGAGGTTGCACGCCTCTGGAGCAACTAGGGGTTAAGTGTCTTGCTCAGGGATACATTGGTGGATGTGTCACGGTGTGGAATTGAAGCCGGGTCTCTCACACCAAAGGCATATGTCTTATCCATTGTTCCATCACCACCCCAAATACATGAGTTGCAGTCTCTCTGCAGGCCTTCTCAGACCGCTTGTATGGGTACATTGTCAGGCTCAGCCACAAATATTGTGATTATCTGGCCCATGGACAAATTGTACAGAAACTTTATGATTTGTGTTCTCAGTAGTTTCATTACTGTCTTTGTACTTTTCGAATAATTTTGTCATCACTGACAAATATTTCAGCTACTTACTTTGTGACAATATAAAACATCTTTTAGTTCTCTCTGTGAAATTATTTTCTCGTTTGGTGTTGCAGATCCCCCATGGGCGCATGAACCCCAGGCAGACCACAATCATGAACAGATTTATGACCGACTGTGTGGAGGTCCACAACCTAATTCAACAGACACGTGCACTCCATCTTCACATCACTCCTTATGTTCTGCACTGTGCACAACAAAATGCACGTCTGCACACGTATGTGAGTACTGGGTACCAAGTTATTTAGATTTTTTTAAATAGCAATATTAATGTGTTTTCAAACATTTATTTGTCATCTTGTTGGTTGTCATTTTAGGCCCGATCCATCATGCCTATGATGACAGCTGGGTGGAGATCCAAAGCAAGAGAACCATCAGAGCAGAGAACGAAGTGGAGGCCAACAGACTGGTCAATAATTACAGGGTAAGAAATCTGAGGGCTCCCTGCGCGAGTCACAAGTGGTTTGAGCTGTAGCGGAGCGAGTGGGGTGGGGGTGCGTCTGTGTCTTCTGCAGAGAGGAGCCCTTACCACTGCCAAGAGGTTCTCCTCTCATGCAGCAAACAGTGCGAGAGTGGACACAGTGGCCTATTGGTACTGCCGTTGACTCCACCCCCTTTAGTACCCCCCCTTGAGCCCACACCACAAAGCTATCATTCCAACTCTGGTGCAGACCAGACAATTGCAGTGAGACTGCAGACTCTGGTGCTTGTTATGTGAAAGCAAACAAAGCAACCACAGCATTTTATGAAATGTGATATTTGATTTTAACATAATTTCAAAAGCTAAATTATTAATAAATCCATCTGCTGATCATGAAATCTCTTCAGGAAGCAATTGACCCGTGCAAGCCAAGTATATATTTATGTAAATCATTTGGTAACCATGTATGTACTTCCCTGATTAATAGGTCAACAGCTGTTAAAAAAGCTGTGCTTAAACTCTGTGTAATTTGTCAGTCCAATAAGTCCATTAAAAAGTTTGTAACAGGGATCCCACAGTAATAAGCCCCGTATCATTACTGTACAAGAATCCTACTCTTCGTCATTTATCATAACATGCGGTAATAATATTTATAATAATATATAATTCTTCATGACACAAAATATAGTATACATCAGAAGCATTAAACTTACACATACACCTCTGTCAGTCCGTGGAATTTGATTTCCCCATGTGGGTCCTGATGATGCAGGATGACAATCGCCAACTGTCCAATCAAAGAGTTACCTGTTAGTCTGTATAACTTCACCTTTACTCCTCTTGGGATGTTGGTAAAAAGTCAGTATGAACATGAAGCCAACACTAATACGCAACACTATAATTTCCCCCCTTGGTCTGCACCAGATGAACCAAACCACAGGTGTGAGAGCAGCTGGCAGCCTGTCTGTCCCTTGCTGTTTTTCGTAACAATAAAAGTGTAAACAAGACGTCCTCGCCCCGTTTGCAATGAGCTATCAGCTGCGCGCCTGTGTTTGAATGCAACACAGCTGGCAGGACGATTCATTCCTCAAACTGCATGTGTGTCTGTTTGTGTCAGTTTGGTTTTAGAAAATGGAAGAGCCATGTGACAGAGCGTCCGTTTGAAGACAGGTCAGAGGTTGTGAAAGAGCTCTACTCTGAACTGAACGTCATTAAACCACATTCAGGTACAAGTTATTGTGCTCGTAATTAAGGTTTAATACAACATGGGCCTTTATGTCATAGATGTGGCCATTGTTTGTTTTTGTTATGATAACTCTGTACTTAACTTACTGTAAAGTAATTACTGAGATCCGGGAACACAACAACATACTGTAGGTGAGCGATGAGACGATCATAGAGGCTGTAAACAAGCCAGCAGTTCTCCAACGTTACTAATGACTTTATTTGGTGGTAAACAAGAGAGGTACAAAATGTCAAGAGTAATCCCTCATCGATCAGAAAAACTGCGGACAACCAATCCACACATGATGGGTCTAAGTTGAGACAAGAAGTCAGTCTGTTAACTGTGATCGACGATTGCAAAAGATAGTCTGGGTAATCATTTTACCAAGTTTACATTTGTTTTCTCTTTCAAGTAAGTTTGGGTAACCTGGTTCTTTGTCTCACCATCTAACTGTCTGACTTGTTTTTAGAGATGCCACTGTGCTCCCAGATCTCAGCAATTACCTTGATGACATCAATGTTATTAATTGTCAGCCTTTCACTAATGATTTTGTCTTCTCTGGTTTCAGGTCATCTCATTACATGTGGAAATGTAGTGTATGTGTTTCTCTTCAGTTGGTGGGTCTCTTTGGCATATTTCCTGGTCGGCATACTTATGTTCATCACTATCATTGGTGCACCGTACGGTGGGTGAGCCAGTCAACAGAGATCAATCGATAATGTTTATTATTGATCAGATGTTGTCCTCATTAATTTTGTCTCTCACTGTTCAGGAAAGCTTTGCTGGAAGTTGTCCTGCTACTTCCTGTGGCCATTTGGCAAGTCAATCCACGAGGTACTGTTTGGGTTCATTTCATGTGTAGGATTTTCCTCCAGTTGTTTCTTTTCCTTTTTCTACTACCTGAAATGAGGAAGTTGCACACTGAATCGTGCCATTTCCTCTTAGTCTCTCACTGACTTGTGGTCTTGAAAGTAGAGCGTTGCAGAATAACATTGTTAAGTCTGCAACACTACACAGTATGTTTGCTTGTCACTGCAACACACTGGTGATGATAGAGTTCAGATCATTTAAACAAACTCCCACCAGTATTCTTTGGGTCTTTTTTTTATTTTAAGTTAGGGATTAAAGAGGAGGAAAATTGGGAATAGTAAGGTATTTAAAAGTTTACATGTACATCTGAGTTGGTTTGATATTAATACAAGTGACTCATTTGTTACATCACAAGGTGCAGAAGAATCCCCACAGAATCACTCAGTGATGGAGGACAGACCTATGAGTACATTGTATAGCCTTTTTAGTAAATTATTTAGATTTGCCCTAAGTGGTGGAAGAAGTATTCAATTCAGACCGTGAAAATATTAACACCATACTGTGAAAATACAAGTAAAATCCCTGCACTCAAAACCTTATTCAAGTAAAATTACTATCTGCTAAATTTACTTAAAGTATCAAAAGTAAAAGTACTCACTCTGCAGTAAAATGGTCCCTTTCAGCATTTACTATGATGTTTCTGGAATAATGTTACTTCTGTGTTTGTGGCATTTTACTGCTAACATTTATAAAGGTTGTACTTTCAATTACTTTATATACAGTTGGGTAGTTGGGTCTACAGCAATGCATCATATTCTATACGATCATCATATGTTTGTAGAAGTGCTGTCCTGTGAGAAGAACAAATCTCTAAAAAAGTCAACTTGTCATGCCAATAGCCCTGTTTCCAGCTAACCCAAAGGTGTTTTAAAGGTTAAGTGTGTAAGATTTAGCGGCATCTAGCCGTGACGTTGTCTAGTCTACTGCTCCCCTCAGCCCCCTTTTTAAGAGTGTAGGATAGCTAGGGTGGCTGATAAATGACAAAAGTGTTGTCATCTGAGATGTAGATAGAAATGGCTTATTCTAAGGTAATACAAACATAACGGTTCAATATATAAGGTCTTTATACACCACTGAAAACATAGTAATGGAAATTATATTGCATTTTTGTCAATAGATCCTCACAATATTACACACAGGACCTTCAAAGAGTGTATTTAGCTCAATAAATATCATAATTTTCTCAACCCATAAATTAAGATCAGACAAATTCAAAATCACCAAATTTGGAGCTTTTGACTTGACAGTAAGAGTGTGAAAAATTGTAATCTGAAAAGGAACTTTCTTAAGTACTGAATGTACTCTACTGTAATTCCACCACTGTCAGCTCTGTTGTTTCTCAGTTGTTTCTGTTTTAAGAATGGGACTACAATTTGTGTAAACTACACGTTACAAGTTACAAGAGTGCTGTAACACTAAGGCAGAATATAGAATAGAATAGAATTTAGTAGGTGTCAGGTGTAAATTTGTTAATGCCTCGTCCTATTCTGCAAACTTGTGGCCTTCCCCAAGGTTCAATCTTAGGGCCTCTTTAGCCTGTATAGGCTCCCACTTGGCGATATAAACGGACATATCATTGTTACACAGATGATACACAACCAAATGTCCCTGATGATGTTGTGTTGCTCAAATTCTGACTTGCTGGGATTATATGTTAGACGTCAACAAAGTGATCAACCAGGTTTTCTCTTTGATTCTCTTCCTATGGAATTAACAAAATTTTAAATATTAGCTGTGGCATACATAAAAGTCAAAATGGAGCAGCCCACATTTCTGAACATCAACACAGACACAGGCTACTTATTTCAGTTTACAAAGTCAGACTTTCAGCATCTCAGCAGAGATTTAGCATTCACAGTAATGACCACTCTAAACTTTGAAATAACCATCAATTCATATTCTACCCTTGAAATCTTTTTCTTTGAACTAATCTAGTTTCTTTAGAGCTATGTTCTGTTTCTCTTACAGTTTATTTTACTCTCTATTATTTGATCTCTTTCTTTTGTTTGATTTTCTTTTATTGTGTAATTTTGACAACACATTTGGTAATTGGTTAATCATTTAAGTTATCTGTCAAGTAAAAATATCCATAGCCTGCAGTCTCTCAAAAGTAAAGATTTGCTTTTCTGTTTTAAAACACTATAAATGGGATATCTTTGGTTTTGGCCTGTTGGTCAGATACAACACGTAGTATGAAGTCTCTGGGAAATAGCGGTGGGTATTTTTTTGCATTTTCTGAAATGTTATACACAAAACAATGAATTATTTGAAACAATATTTGATAGGTCAAAACAGTTTCAGCCTTGATTGTGATTACATGAGATTAAATGTAAAGGTGGTGCTCCAGTGAGCCAGGACTAACACTTTCCTCTGGTTGTGTTTCTCCAGATTGGAAATACATTGAGGAGATGTTGTGAGCAAGCACCAGACTGTGAGTGTAACACAGAGGGGATGGAAGATAACTCGCCAGTTCTGCTGCCTTCGCCAACAGAGGTGCCAATCCCAGAATTGCCAGGAAGACCTCTGCGCACTCCCTACTGGGTAACCTTCCACACCTAAAATATACGTATAGACAATACATGATGTATACACTGTATGTATAAATGACTGAATCACTTCTCGGAGTGTTCAACTTGTTGTGTAGTATCGTTTCTCCACCTACGTGTGGCTGCTGCTGGGATATCCCCCTTTGGTGGTTATCCACTCCCTGGCCTGCTTCTTCTCCTGGATCCTGGTCTTCACCATTCCTGTGTCCAAGATGAACGCACGGACCCTGGGTGTCATTCTTCTCTTGGCTCCTGAGGATGTCTCGGTCTCCACCTGCTCACAGAAGAAAGCAAGAGAGAGATTTAATTATTTACAGCACAGGATTATTCAGTGTCACTTTTATACTCATGCATCTGTTTATTTGTTTTTTGCTTGACCCTTAGCATCAAGGCTATGAGACCAGAGCACTGCTGTGCTGCTACCACGCTGTAAACTGGTACTACTACAAGTACACTGTTGATGGGATCAATGTGTTCGCTGTCAGTATCCTTTACTAGTATGTGTGAAGTGTTTGTGTCTGTGTGTCAGAAAACGGTTACCATCTTTGACCCCCATCGCAGACCTCCTCCCCCTTGTAATAGTTGCCATGGTAATCGGATATATTGACAGAGAAAACCAGTATGCTAGCTCTGAGGTCAAGTTCGCCATAGCCATCGGCTCCATCATACCTCTGTCTTATTATATTGGTATGGGCATTGCAAGGTGAGCTGTGTTCGTAACCTTAAAACACACCTGGAAAGTGCCTTTACATGAAATAAACTACATTTAATTTGATGTTGCCCTTTACATCTATTGTCTCAAAAATGTAAAAAGAGTTACAGACTTTCATGCACAGTGCTTCTGATGTTAATTGTCATTCATGTTTGGCACTTGCAGTATCTCGGCCCAGTGTAACTTTGCCGTGGGTGCAGTGGTGAACGCCACGTTCGGCTCCATCACAGAGTTGACCTTTTACATCACAGCCCTGCTCAAAGGTCACCAGGCCGCAAACCCGTGTCTGCAGGAAGTCGTTAAAGCAGCACTGACTGGCACGCTGCTCGGATGCATCCTTTTCATCCCTGTGAGCCAACATTACAATGGAGACAAAAAGTCATGTCAAATACACAACACTAATACAGGATGTGCAGTATGAATGAGGCTCCTTTCTTTGAATTTTTCCCAGGGCATCTGCATGATAATCGGAGGGCTGAGACACAGCGAGCAAACATTCAACAGTCGCTCTACAGGAGTGAGCTCTGCGTTGCTTTTCATCTCTGTAGGAGGCAAGTAAACCAATACATATGTACTTTATGCCATCCCCCAGCTACGTATATATTCTTGGAAGTGTCAGACATACAGTAGGTGGAGATAATAACAAAACTTCCTGTTTTCTAGCAGTATTTTTAGATGCGAACCACCTCACAAACTTAGATCGTTCACATATAGTTAGTTAAATGTTACAGCTATATGTCTTGTCTTTTTTTAGCAGCTGTAGCAGCTACAGAACCAGCTGTGTTTGTTACACACTATTTCTGTCTGCCAAAACTGAAATCAACTGCAATATAAAAGCATTACCCAAATGTTATACACTGACTCATCCCCCTGACCATGGCAGGTGTGTTTGCCCCCACAATGTTCTCCAAGACTTACGGAAATCTGGTGTGCGATGCCTGCACCAACTCGACTGGAGGAAACAGCAGCGGGCCGTTTGTCTGCCACAACTGCCACTACGATCTGGTCAGCGTCATTAGCCAGGAGAAAACCAAACCTTTCAGTCTCACATTGTAAAACGACTCACATACACTGTAAAATGTATAATGTGTTTTTTGTTTTTCAACAGAACAACGGTACATTGTTCCACAACCATGTTGAGTAAGAAATTATATATTTATTTTATTTATATACTGACCTTACTGTTTTTTTTAGCATGTTTTAGCCCATGATGATAGGGGTGCACTTTCCAGGGAGCCATTTTAGTTACATTCAGTACAATATAAAAATCACTTGCAGAAACTGGATAGAAAATAATTATCCATTGATGGAAACAAACCTGTTTTTTTTTTTCTCCCTGTGATGTGAGCAGACGCTCTTTTGACAACTGTTCTTGTTGGTGCATGTAGTGGCACTCTGACATTTGAGTGTCAAGAGTTAACTTTACTCTCTCTACAAAATGTCCAGGTTTGCCTGATTTGTCTACTTATTTTAAGAATAAGATTTGGGGAGCTGAATGAGCCAACAAGGAGTTTAACACATTTCTCTTTAAGTTGATTTGCATTCTAGTGAAACAAATGCAGGCCAGAGGCAAAAAAGCTAAAACCTGTCAAGTCACCATATAGTCTTTTGAGTTTCTGATTCAGTATGCCGTTATACCTTCTTTATTTTTCTGCCCTGTTATTTATTGTGTGTTCTTGTCATCAGGCCACTGGTGTACGCAGTATCTACCCTTTTGCCAGTTGCCTACATAATTGGCCTGATATTCACACTGAAGACGCACTCCCACATTTATGACATTCATGTTGGACAAGGACAGGGTATGAGTCTCTCGCTCATGAATCAATAGCTAATACAAAACTGTACCTTGCGTTATTACACTACAATACAGAGAACAGTGAGGGCACAGTTGTCTGAAGGTAACATGCCACACCATATTTTCTTTGTTTGTCTGTGCAGTGTCTGGCCACCACGGAGCAGTAGTCCACTGGTCATGGTGGAGGTCTCTGGTTATCCTCATAATGGCCACTGTGCTCACATCCGCTTGTGCCGATCTCGTCACAGAGCACATCCAGCCCATACTAAGTCAGCCTAACATCTCTCAGGTCGGGATATTCATCCGAGCGTGCTCAGGCAGTTTATTTTTATTGGCTTGTTATCTGTGGCTCTGCTGACGTTGGTCTCTCTATCTCCAGTATTTCATTGGAGTGACAGTTCTCGCTATGGTTCCTGAGATCCCAGAGATTGTTAATGGGATCCAGTTTGCACTCCAAAACAACATCAGTCTCAGGTAAATCCTGTGTTGATCAAAAAGGTTCATCAGAATTTAAAAAGTGATATCTGTAGCTAAATTATGTATTTTTTCAGCTTGGAGGTGGGAATCTGTATTGCTGTTCAGGTCTGCATGCTACAGATTCCAATTCTGGTCTTATTTAATGCCTTTTATGTAAGACACCCTTTTGACTTATAGATTGAAATATATACCTACTGTTTGGGGTTTTGTAGTTTCTGTAATCTATCACTGTTTGTTTTCGAAAGGATGTGGGATTTGTGCTGTTATTCAGTGATCTGCACCTGTGGGCCAGCATCTTCAGTGTGATTCTTGTGAACTACATCTTCATGGATGGAAAGTCTGATTATTTTCAGGGTGAGAGGGTTTTAAGATTTTTACACTGTATTAAGAGAGTGAACACCCTTTACTGGAAAATATGTGCATTTGAACAATAGAAAGGAATTCATTTTCAAATGGTATTATTATTATTTAAAAACACCCTGAAACAAATGTTTTTCTACCCTCAGGTACAGCTCTGGTGATTGTCTACCTTATTCTACTGGCTCTGTATTACTTTGCTCCGTCTCCAGCAGGCTGCTGACCGTGGGACTGAGACTTTTCAGCTCCCCTGAAGTTAGACCTTTTTGAGAGGACTCCAAGTGTGCAAATTCAGTACCACTCCTTGTTGATGAGATTTTATCATTACAGTGTTACGATCATGTGTGAACCCTGATATGGGCCATTAACTTAAATATTTTGTGTATTTTGTTTTGATTAGGCTGAATCCTAAATTATACAAATGACAAAACTGAACATTTTAATCTCAGGAAGGAACTTGTTTTGACCAAACATTAACTCCTATAACTGAAAAATGTACAGTTTGTAAACTAACAGTGTGTCCTTAAACTTATACTGCTTTTCTTTCACATTTCCAAAAAACTAAATTTTTACAATATAAATCTGATGTTATAAATTGAACTATCTGCACTGTCTAAGGTACTGTTGTGATATTTTGTATGCTTTTTAACTCCGAAATGTTAAAATGATACCTGTCTTAGAATAAATGATATAAGTAACATTATTTAACACTGGCACCCTACAGTTGTAAAAAAGTGGCATTGCTGACTGAACAATAATATCTGCAAATACAAGATTTTGAAAAACTGGCTGCCTGTGTTTATTGTTTGTACAGACAGGGATTATAAAACATAATTTACATTACAGCAAAACCTGCCTTTGAGGAGACATTCACCTTTTCTCCTAGGGGGGTTTATATAAAGTGACATGCACACATACACACATGCAGAAGAGATCATTCAACTTTCATTAACATCAAAAATTCTGCAAATATAAACATCTGAAAAAGCACATCAGCATCAGTCGGAGCACATACTGAAGCAGACAGCTTCACAATAACATAAATAAGGCCATAAGATGTCATGTCAATCATAACCAAAAAAATTACTGAAGTGGAGATTTGAAGGTAAAAAATGAGAATCATGATACAATAGGTTTTAGATGACGTAGCTCAGTATTGTACCAACACAGTTGCAGTGAAAGTGTGAAATAAAACCCAAATTCTCAGTCCATAGTAACCGCAAAAGATTTGTGTTCAAAGTCTTCTCGGCGTACCGAAGACATTTTGGAGATGGTGAATGTTTGCGGAGCTCGATAGACCGAGTCTGATCACAGTATTTACAATCCTGAGTACGCCTTACATACTCTACATTGTTACTAGTTTAAAAAAGTCCTGTGGGACTTGTTTTTCAAAGTACCATAGCAATACTTCTCTAATATTTACAGTACAGCCTATGTTATAGTATAAAAGAGGTTTTAATGGAGTTTAGGCATAAAGTGGGCAACAAAGTGACAATAAAACCAGGTGAAAGAGAAATGTAGCAACGTGTTCTGCTACAACTGAAGGTTTTGTAACAAAAAACATCAGCACAGTGATTAAAATAAATAGCTTTAAAAAAATGTGGATTTAAGTTAATGAAAAATCTTTAGCTGCAAGCAGCATCTCCTGATTAAATCATGAGCAGAAAGGTTCAGCAGCAATAGGCCCATGTGGAGAGCACCAGGTAAATCACATGGGGGAAAAGGAAACGTACACAGTTCAGAGAGTAATGAAAATCTTATAAAGATAGATATATGGAAGGAAACATAAAAACGATGTGCGATATCTTGGGAAGTCAGAAGGCACTGAATGAAAATATTAAAATAAAAAAAAATAAAAAGGATGTAGAATCACTGTGGAGCTATAGTTAGTAGCATAGTATAAATAAATTTCTAACTAAACAAGAGGCACAGGAAGATTCACAGTGATGCTATGTTGCAGATGTTTTAAAATGGCTTTTGGGTTTTCATCTGCTCAAAAGGCCTAATGTGATCAGCGAGGGGAAGATTTTCAATTTGACCAGTAGAACTCAACATCCTCAAGGCTAAAACATGATTCCTTAAATATTTGACCTAATTGGACCGTTAAAAGAGGTATCACAGTTATAACGCGTCTATGCTTTATCAGCAGCCTGCCTCTTCACAGAGGATCTGGCCGATTTCTAACCAACTAAATGGAAATTAAGTTTACGTCAGCACAGTTTTGACATTAATTACTGATCTAACCTAGGTCTCAGTGTGCGTAGCAGCAGCGTGCAACGGGTCGTCATTTCAGCAGTAGTGAAACAAGCTGATCTCTGCCTCTGAATGGAAGATAAAAGTACACTAGCACAAGCAACATTCATTTAGCTTTCAAGAAGAGGACATTTAACTCTTCCTGCTCATGCTTCACAAGTTTCTGTGACAGTGAAATGTGGTTAAAAAATTATAATTTAAAATTGGAGGAGTGCACTGTATAGTTGACCCAAAATGACAAGATCAAGGAGTCCACACTGATGCATGGCCTCTGCTGCGTGCAAACTCAAATCTTACACACATACAGAGAGACTCAAAACATTGCACTTGGCATTAAAAAATAAAAATACACACACACACACACATTTACATAAAGACTAAAGTTCAGTTTTTTTTCATAAACCACATGACAGCATCACACTTTCTTTGCCCCCTTGAGAACTTTTTTGTCAAGTTTTCAGTGATTTTAGTGACAGTGCTGCTGCATCACATACCGCTTCCTTCAGTCTGTGTGCTCTGTCTACTTGAGCCGCTGAATTAGTGTGTGTGTCAGTCCCAGGCTGAGCAGTTGAAGCGTGGACAGCTGGGCTACGTGAGGGAAAGTTTTCAGCAGTTTCTCCCAGGTCAGTTCCAGCAGGCTGGGTACCACCAGCCACACTTTGTACAGCGAGCCAGTCCTCCTATTCCCAGACATGTTGACAACACCGCCGTGGACGTACATGCAGCCAGCCTGAAGGAGGGGAACAGCGGCAGAAATTTGAGCTGCAACAATTTAGTCTTAAGATTGTTCAGTTAGTCAAGCAACATAAAATTGAGTTGTTTTTTAAGCAAAAGTTTTAGCATTACCACTGTGAGGACCTGCACCTTTTCTCTGGTTTAAATCATTGTAAAGTGAATCTCTCTGGTATTTGGGCTATTAGTCAGAAAAAAAAACATTTAAAAGATGTCTCCTTGAGCTCTGGGAAATTGTAATTGTGGACATTTTTCACGACATTTCATAGACTAAACAACCAGTTAATAGAAACAAATGATCAAGATTCTTTAAGAATTAAACTAACTCTTTGTAGATTTCTTTTCTCACTCAGAGCAGAAGAGAAATCTGCCGACCAAGTTAGATCTAGAGATCTGTGAATGAATATTTGACTAACCGGAGTGACTGCAGCACAGTGAAAGTAGGCTGGCTCTGGCATGACAGCAGGCAGCTTGATCCACTGGAAAGTTTGCAGGTTGATCTTCCACAGGTCAGATAGGATCAACTCTCCATTATAACCCCCACATATAAACACCTCTGGAGGTAGAAACAGAGCGAGACTTGGTTAAACAAACAAAAACATAGGTCTGTCCAGATAATACGAATAATAAAAATACTCCTTACCATTTTTGACCTGCACACAGCTGTGACAGCGGCGGGCAGCAGGATATCCTGTCATGATGAAGACAAAGTAAATTCAATGTGCGGTCTTCAAATCTTATATTTGGCAAAAAAATCTAAACATGGATCACAAACCTATTTTTTCATGAGGTTTGGTGACTATTTCCTCCCAGTAATTTGTCTCCAAGTTATATGCGTGAATCTGATAAAGACAAATAGTTTAAAATAGATCAAATGAAGGAGCAACACACTGTTTTTTTTTTTCAGTTTTTGTCTGTGCGCCCGTTCCTCTCACCTTGTGCAGGGGATATGATGTCCAGGACGTCCCACCACCTAATATGTATATTCTCTGTCCATCATGAGCTAGTTCATGTCTGTACCTGTAAAAATCATCATTATCAGGCTATTTAAATAAATACTTTGGGGAGGTCACACATTCTGCAGTCACTGCAACTACGTCTGACCTCTCCTCAGGTAGATCTGAAGGTGTGTTGTTGGGTTTGAGGTGGGTCCACTCTCTGGTGGTCAGGTCCAGCCTGTGCAGGTCAGTGCTGTAAAGGTAGCCCGTTGTCCCTCCAAACACATAGAGGTAGCCATTTATGATGACCATCGCCTGGAAATGGAGAATGCTGAGAGATGTTTGTTGGTGGAATACACAGCTGTATACTGTAATCAAAGAGTTATGAATAAATGGTGACACAGAACAACATTTAAAAGACGACAGATAAATAGATAGATATAAAAAACAAACACTGTTACCTGTCCATAGATCTTGTTTGGTTTCTTCCCTCTGCAGTTGAGCAGCTTCCATCGTTTGTACTGAACATTGCAAACATGGACGTCGTTGCCGTTGTTTTCACCGAATGGAATCCCAGTGCCACCAAACACAAGCAGGTTGTTGCCGTGTAAAACAGCTGAGAGAGACAAACATCAGTACAGTTTCATTCTTGCTTAGTATCCCCAATAAGGTTGGTTCAAATCTACATACTGGACTGTTTCGGTCTCTGACCAGACCACAAACTGACAAAACAAAAGTTCTGCTAATGTTTTTTTCTTTTTGCCATAGCAAAGGGCTCATTCATCAGAACAAACTAAGACAGTGTAAATTTTGCATTAATTCAATGAAGAAATCAGGTTACTGCAGAAAGTTGACTAATCTGGATACACAAGTGTTTGCAGTGTGTCGGACAGCTTGCATAAAAGGCGTCCTGTGTAGTTTCCCTTCTGTTTAAATTCAGTGTTACTCACCAAAACTCAATGTGTGTATGCTTGAGCTTTAACCATCCTGTTGAATGCATTTGCTTCCTAATAAAAAACATTTTAAAAGCCGACTTCTTAAAAGTTTGAAAACCAGCACTGTTTAATCCATGTTTACCAATTAGCAGTCTTCCTCTTCCCTGCCTTTGTTGGCACAATGTTTCTCAGTGCATTACTTACCCGTGTAGATCAGTGGCAAAGCGTGAAACCATTGGCAGGAATGTGTATTGTATTGTGTCACCTGTGTGCCAACGTGTCCTTGTGCATGTGCATGAGAGCAAACAAAATGGTGTCTCACTCAAACACAGTCATTCCATAGTCCTACTAGCGGTCAACAGACCAGTAGCTGGTGTGCTGGGGGTGTAACTGTGATAAAATGAAGGGCAGCACATCAGACCTTACCTGACATAGAGGCCAACTCTGTGGGCATGTAGCCTTCTGTGCGGACCTGCTGCCAGGTGGCTGTGGCAAAATGAAACCGCCAAAGCTCTCTGAAAAGAGGGTAGTCATCATTCTCTGACCCGCCTGCCTCCTCAAAGTCTGGATTGTAGCCTCCAAACACATACAGGTTGGCGCTGTCTGCAACACAGCGGTGTCCGCTCCGGGCGGGAGGTACACAGTGTCCTGTGGGAGGCATCAGTTCAAGATAGACAGAATATTTCAGTCACTGGTGTAAATGGAAACCAAAGAGCATGTTTTATTTATTTAATAATTAAAAATTAGACAACATATAGCATGGTGTCCTCACTAAATGTAGGCTTGTTTTCTTTACCTACAAATACTGTACATGAAAGAAATAGCATTATACAGTATGCATGTTACAGAGGTCGGACCACTGAGTCACTTTATCAGACAGTTGTCTCCTTATCGGAGGTAAAAACAGTCTGATGTGGAGGTCATGCACTTTCAGCACCTTCTCTCAGGAACCTGTTGGGGATCCGCAGGTTGGGGCAGGAAGGGGAGAAGATGCGCCGAGCCTGAAGCCACCGTGCCCGCTTCTTGGAGCCTGTCAATCACCATACAACAAGTGAAAAGAAAGAGAAAGAGAGAGGGGTGCGGTTAACTCACTAATACCACTACTACTGCTGCTAAAATCAGAGATTTGACCTTTTAAAAAAAAAAAATCTGCCATAAAGCCATTTTTGAAAGTTATAGTAGTAGGAGACACCACTAAGACTCTTGACCCTGGTTTGAAGTTAATAGTGACTGTTTTAGTCTCCATTTCAACATTTTTATTTCGCTTATTGTTAATGGTTATGTCAAATGTCTTTTCTGTCTGGGTTTAATTCCACTTGACACAACCAGCATGCAGAATTTAACTTGTATATACAGTAAGTAGGATGTTTTCTACATTGCGTATCAGCGAGGTAACGTTAACAGGTATCCTCTGTTGTCAGCCGGGCCGCTGTAACACCAAAATGTGTGACCTATCAGATTCTGTGACTACACCCAAACGACGATGTTTTCCTAACCATAACCAAGTACTTTTAGTACCTAAACCCAACCAAACTGCAACCGCTTCACATCGTCAACAAAGCCTCTGGCGCTTAACTTGCCATTTGGGTCACTGAACCTGATAGGTCACACATTTTGGTGTCATACCTGTAACTATGAAGCCAATGCTTGCACCCCAGTCTCTAACATGCGAATCCCTTTTTAAAGAAAACAATAATTACAGTAGCGGCACAGAAAGCCTGCTGGGTGTTCATTCACTCACAAATGTCTGCTAGCTTCCGTAGCAACGTTAGCTAGCAGGTCTGGCAAGGGTGCTGCAGCGGTGAAACATCGTATCGCTAACTCAGTCAAAACAAAGACAAACGAGTATCCTGGTATATACAAGACAAAACCAACGCTGAGTTACGTTACTTGGACTAAGCTTTAGTTCACTGTTTGCTTTGCTGACTTGCAGAGCAGTTGGTTTTGTTTACAAACCTGAGTCGCGGACCGAGGGCCTCCACGACAGTTTCTCAAACGTATTGAGCTGACTTAAGGTTGCGTGTTCGGCCGAAGACATCTCGACGGGGTTCACACCCAGACCTGGACAAGAACCCGCTTCAGTCTGACCTAGCGTAGTGGCATGAGACTGCAAGCTCCAACAATCACACCAAAATAAAGAAATAACAGTACCGACCGTCCACACCTGCTGCTGCCTGCAGCGTCACAGCCAGCTGGCCTGGGCTGACCAATCAGAGGAGGGGGCCCTTCATGTCGCGTTCAAGAGTCACATGCTGATGTTTACATAGTTCAGAAAAACGGCATCCATCCTTACAGTCAATGATCCACTGGGCAAGATGGAGGCAAAGGGCCATGGGTACCAGGCGCGCCAGGTCTGACACAGAGAGACAAACAACCATTCACGCTCACATTCACACTTAAGCGCATTAGAGTCCTGGAGACCAGAGCACCCAGAGAAATAACACACTGACCCATCTACAAACTCCCCCAGCCAGGCGTGGGATCCTTCTTGCTGTTAGGCCACAGTGCTAAACACTGCATCACCACTGCAGTTTTAGATCACAGTGTGTGCAATCTATGTAGAGAACAGGTCAAATATAGCTGCACATGAAAAGCTTTACATTCTAACAAGTAAAAGACAGAAGGAACAGAGTATTCTGCTTTTGTCCACCTAACAGTTTGAAATCCAAAAATATGAAATGTACAACCTCATTAGACAAAGACGGAAAACAAATTCTCTAAGGAGCTGTGACCATTTAATGTTTGGCATTTGTGCTAGAAAAATGTACCTAAGTGATTATCATTGATAAATTAATCTTATGTCTATTTTACAAGATATGTGGCCTATCCCAGCATGAAGTAAAATGAACTATAGGGATCAAACTCAGTGGAAATGCTGATGTTTTATCACATGAAAAGCCACAATTTTGTCTCTAAGCTATTGAGTTTAGAGTCACAGGCTGACTATGGCCTTAATGTAAATCAAGATATACAGTCTCCACCAAAATGTTTGAAGATCTATAGTGACCTGTTAAAAGAAGACTTCCTTACTTAACTGCTTGCAAGATAAACTAGATTTACTGTACAGCTTAGATGACAGACATCTGTTTAGCTACTTGGAGAGAAACAAGTGGGTGTAGTGACTCCTCTCAATCAACTGAACCAAGAGTCAACCTTTACCCCAGATCTTCGGGGGTTACTTTGCTGACATCTAGATTTGAAGCTCAGTGGGATAGGCTGAAGGAGCAAAACACAACAAACAGATCAATCCTGTGAGCAGCTGCAGTGACTGTCGAGGAGCAGATAATGATCATGAAATGATTGAATCAAACACACTCTTTTGTTTGTCTTTTTCAGTGGTATTTCTCTGCAGCTCACACTCCTAACATTATACGAAAGTGTAATGTACATACAGCCATGTTAAGGTTTAACATTAATACATACATGCAAAATACCCTGGGTGTTACAATAAAGTATCCACCATGTTTTTTTCTGACTTTAACGGGTGGCTGAGATGTCAACCCACAGTTTTCATAGGTTATTTGTAAGCTGGAAGAACTTTAATGTAACATCAGGTAGGAAATTAAGCCAGTCTATGAAGTGAAGCTGTGTTTAATGAGATTAAACGGGAGATGAGTTGTTAACTTTCTGTTCCTTCCAGTGATCTTCTCATAGATTCATGGAGAGCAGCACGTGATACCATCTCATCTAAAGTGATTAGTCTAACTGGGAGAGGCACTATATTCATGCTTTTTGTTTGTTGCGCATGAAGAGATTTCAATAGATAACCAAATTATTCTGAACTATGCTGGTTAAACCTGCCATGTGAGAGAGGCTTAACAATGTGCTGTTGTACTGTATGGACATGGAAGGTCATTAGAAATTATGCATCTGTAGTCACGGAGAGTGCACTAACGTTGGCGCCAAGCATCATATTTAACAGCCTTTGAGAACCTGACAGGTCAGATTAGAAAAAAGATTTTACCAGAAGCCTTTTCACACAAGTTTCACACAAAATCAACACTTTGGACCCAAAACATGTTTTGCACAAATCTGTCCTGTCTTGGTTTTGTCCATTATAACCATCCATGCAACAACATCTCTGTTATAGCAGAAAATTGTTTCCTCTTACATTTAATCTTTATTATTACTGTCATTGTTTATGTCTTATATGTACTGTGTTTTTTATACTGTTTTTATACCTTAACCTTTTCTCTCAATATTAACCTTTCCTTATTATTATACTCATTATATTAGTCTGTTCACATATGTAGGGTTTAGTTTAGGTCAGAGCTGTGAGATTGTTTAGTGTTTTTCCCCTCTTGTTGTTCTCTCCTCTCCTTGAATTTTCCTTCAAGGCCGGGAGAGGATCTCTGTTCCCCAAAACATAGAAACCTAGACTGTGTAAATGATTATGCATCCCTTTGCTCGGGGCCAGGCACCTGAAGCTACCCTAGGCAGCAGGTCTCTGGACCAGCTGTATATGGGTTTTAGTACTTCTGTTTATTCTCTTTTATTAATAAATTCTTCAAAGACAGAGGTTTGTTGTAACTCAATTATTTGCTTAATCCCTCACCAGCTCAGCAACATACAGTTTCCATGATAATCTCATCACAGCGTACCTGAAAATCAAACTTTAGGGGGATGTAATACCAGAGGTTTTCAGTGTCTTTACAGGTTTAGAGTCAAGTTACATGACGTGTGTCATAGTTTCATTAACTGAGACCTATGTCATCATATCTATGAAATAAGGGGTGAGCAATGTGGTGCACAGACGCTAAGAATGGTGATACCATTTCAAAGGCACCAGACAAACACAGAGCTTTACATAATCAGATGTAGATAACTTCATCATGAGTGTCATTTGACACACAGCTGTGACAGACATTTTGTTTTCGTCACATCGATGGCTCCGCTCTTGGCTCCACATGGATGGAGGAACACAGTTTAGAGGTTTAATGTGATTTCTAACATGGAAATCAGCAAAACAAAGCTTTTGGTACTGTACTTGCGGTTGTCATCTTATGACAAGCAAGGGTCTCATTGACCACCAAGAACCATCTCAGGTCATGTGAGACTCTCAAGGCTTATGTGAATTTGTCATACATCTCATGTGTTTACACTTACACTATTGCAGACATCATTGCAGGATTTCAGATGCTATTGCAGAGTTCAGTGAGTGTAAACTATTTAAATACTGTCTTTCGTTCTACTTGACAGTAGTCCTCTGGAAAATATATATTTTGGAAAAACGGAAGTCTTATTTTTTCTATTATAAAGACAATGTATTAACAAGCTTACCTCATCATGTATTTCATTAACAATGACAAGCCAATGTTATGTTTAATCCACCATCACAAATATGCCTCAAAGGGCTTTACAGTCTGTACAACTTATGTCGTCCTCTGTCTTTACACCCTTGACTTGGTTTAGAAGTGGGGGATCTCCTCCAGGACACAACAGCATGGGGTAAGTGTCATATGTAGAGCAGACAGAAGTAATAATAGTAACTACAACAATACCAATACACCTGCAGTTTTAAAGGAGATTGCACTTTTTTAAATTTACTTATTGTAAATTGTTGCCTAAAATTTCTGGAAGGGGCTGAGTGTAATTTAGTTTTTGTAAATGATTTTTTCTTCTTCTTTTACTTCAGATGTGGGGAATGCTTTTAATTGCATATATCTAAGGAGAACCTAAATATTAGAAACATATTTCAGTATAAGCAATATAATTAAACAAACAGTTTATAACCTTCATGAAAGTATGATTGATTGCAGGAATATTGTATTGGAACTGCATTGTTTTTTTAATGTGTGGGATGAGAGGCTAAAACTATTTATAATCCATATCATACTTCGACACTGCCTGTGAAGAAACACAACTTTGGCCTACAGTGCTAGCTCCAGCCATCCAATAGGCAAATTTCATCATAGATGTAGACATGATAGGCATACATACACGTCATCTTTTAAGCACTAAAACCTCCTCACACACAAAAATAACAAGTCATACGTTAATTATATACTTAAATGTCGACTTCACTCTTCGCAGGAAATGCTCCCAGCACTTTTATTCACAGACAGGAGTAGCACTAACCGTGTAGTTGTGCTCTGTGGAGTGTATTTCTACACCTGAGCCCCTCCTCTCCTCGGTCTGGTCGCTGGAGGTTGATGTCACGGGCAGAGGGAGTCTTCAGGACAGGACTCAACTAGGCAGAGCTGGTCAGGGAAACACTGAAGATCTACTGAGGGGAGAAAAAAGTGGGCTATGTTGCAGCTAGGATCTTGTTTATGGACATTGTGGGAAGGCTGCTGATACAGTCCCGAGGGCTTGTAGGTATTTTCAATCTGAAAGGTTGAGGTTGCCTCATCACCGCAGTATTTTTAGATCACTTCTGAAAAGGAATACAAAAATGTCGTCTCCAAGTCCGGGCAAGAGACGAATGGATACCGACGTGGTGAAACTGTATCCTTTCCAGAACATAAACAAGCCCAAATACTAGCCAAGTCAAAGAGGATCGTTTTGTTTCATAACCAGTGTCAGCTCTCTAATGTGGTTTAATTACAGCGTTTGTTCCGGATGGCTGCTGTAATTATGTAAATAGTATATTCTACTTAGCTATGTGAGGTTAATAGATGTTGTAAAAAGTGTGTGTGTATGGTTATCTTTGTTTCTTAGCTAGCTCGCTGTTAAGTTAGCAGAATGGCGAGGGAGCTACACATACATGGTTTGTTTGTGTGAACTCACTCGCCTGTTAGCCATCGTTAGCTTGCTAACACATTAGCATTGGAGATCTGTCGCAATATGTATAAAGCTATGTGTTCGCTTTGAACATTGTTAGCCTTAGCTTGGAGGCGATAAGTTAGCATGTTAGCCAACAATATTCGGTCCCATCGGACTGACAACACAATGTGAAGGATTAGCGAGGACTTTTTTACATTTTGGGAACGCTTCTTCGGAAAGACACATTTATTTTTGCGTGATTTTTTTGGTGACATTAACGTCAAGCTAGCTAGCTAGCTAGCTGTTTAGCATGCTATCAGCAAAAGAGAACAAATAAGGTCGATGTAGCGGAACAGAGACGATCTTTGACAAATGCAAAGTCGACAGCTAACTACATTCATTGACGTCAGAGAACAGGAAAATACTGATTTAGATCTTTTGTGCCTTTTATAGTATTTCCCAAATATAAAAAAAAGCATGAACACT